TCATTTTCACTAAACTTATCGCTCTTTTCCAGGGCTGCTTTCTTGACACTCCGGGCCCAGATCAACAAATTAATTTCTGATACTGATAAAGCAGAATGTCGAATTTCACCTCAATATTTTCAGAAGTTGATGCGCAATTAATTCGGGAATTCTGAAGTGTTTTCATCCGTTCTAAGCGATCTGCACCACTGCTCATTCATATGACTTCCTAGGAATTTAGAAACATTTCTGGAATATTCGTTCAAATTTTTCCATGTGGATTTCAGAAATCAATAAAGCAGATCTTGGGTTTCAGCCTCAGTCCAAATGCCAAGCTTTGATGAGCAATGATTTTCTTTCTCAGTTTTTTTGGCAATTAATCCAGAAATTTGTAAAAGTTTTGCCGCCCGCAAGGTTTTTGCGTCACTGTTTTATCAACTCAATGAGTTCCAAACTAAACATTGGCTAGTGAATATGAGAAACGAATCAATAAAATATCCTAAGAAATATGACAGAAAATTATTTAAATGTCAATTAAGTGAAAAAAATGTATAGAGCGAAACAACAGGGTGAAGAAACTAATCGAAGACACGTTGCGTCCAGAAATGAGTCTAAATTTTGCTAAAAACAGACTTGAAAATAAAACAGGACAATTTTTCAGAAATATTTCTCCCAATTCTGGTCATTTCAATGTATTTGTTCTACTACTAAAAAATCGTCCAACGAGGAATCCATTAAAAATCGATATTGCTCAGTTTTTCTTTCTTTCCTGCCCCAGCAAATAAATAAAGTTGCAAAATCGCCCTTTGAGAAACCAAGTTGCGAGGCGCTTAGTAACCATTTTTAGAAGAAAACTTTCGTGCAAAGTAGCAATTAGTCGGGCGAGATAGCGAGATAAGAATTAGTTGGTGGTTTGTTTGGCGATAAAACCCAGTTGAATCCAGACAAGTGGAGCTGATGACTAATGAAGAAAAGAAAGTAGACATCGCAACAATACATCCAATTTACTGCTGTCAGTAATCTTGAAACAATGAAAACGATTGAATAGCTGGCACAACGACAACCGGTGTGTGGTGGGCCCATTCACCATATATAATATGCAGATGTATATTACTAGATTCAACAGAGGAAAATAAACTAGAACTGCAAACACGCCTCCTGTACAATAAACATAAGTGTTTTCTATTTGCGATCCGTTTTTAGTCGGAAAGTTTGCCGACAGCAAACACCGATCGTAGCAATTTGTTGGGCAAATATTACATTTACTTCTGGGCTGGCTTTCGTATTTATTAAATAGGTAAGTGATGTGTTAAAACAAGCGCTCAGACGAAGATAAAAGAGCGGAGACGAAATGTATTCGCTCGCCCTCGAGTGCTATTAGAAATAATGAAGCTTTCACAGGTAATTTAGCTGTTCTTTTTACGACTGTTTGCTGAACAATTGTCTTGTTAATAGTGAAGTTGCTTGCACTGGAAGGATGTGACCGAGTTTGGAATCGGGCCGCAGCAATGAACATTCTCACGAAATGCGGAAACGGAAATCGCAATTACAGTCGCCTTTTTCCCATTTCCACTTTCCGACGACGTTCCATCACTTTTCATGCAATATTTGCTTTCAATTACATCAAGTCTTCACCAAAAACTCAACGTTTTCATCAAGGGTTGGGAATTCTAACGCAAATGGTAAACGTTTGGCAACTACGAACACCCATAGAAATCGTACTTTTTAGTCTTGGTTTGTTTTTCATACTTGTTCATTTAGTTTCAACTTTTCTATTTTTAAAACCTGTCCTCAATAATTATTTACGTTATTTCATTTTTAATATTTTTTTAAATCTGACAACACTGAACAAAAGAGGACTAAAAAATCAAAATTGTGCTGAGTGCAAGCACATGAAAATTTCTAGTTTATTGGGAAAAATTTCCAGATATTGCAACACTGGGGCCATGGACATCTGACAATTAGCTGAATGATTGACTAAAGCAAATATGCAAGTATGCGATAAAAGAAAATAAATCAAAATTCATTAAACAATAACTGGGTGGTAGGTTGCTGGGAAATTTAGTCTTCAAATAAACAACAGAACAATTATAAAATAAATAACATGCCATTTCAAGATTAAGGAAAAGGTAAAAAACTGTAAAGGATAAAGTCGCAATAAGCAAAATTTCATCATGTTTTGCATAGAAATAAATAATAATCGAAAAGACAAGAGACTCACCAGACAGAGAACAACAAGAAGTTTGGAAATAACACAAACAATACAAAGCATAAAACATAAAAACTAACGACATACATAAAAACTAACGACAAAAGCTTGTAGAACAAATAGTGAAGTTAAAAGTTCAGCTCAAGAACATTAAGTCAAAAGCACGCTATAAATGCAGTAAACAATTGTACTGAGCAAAATGAGAAACTAAGAGGAAGTCGACATTTTAAAAGCCATAATCAATTAATTAACTGGGCAAATGAAAGACACTTAGTGAAGAAAAACGGTTAACAAAAACAAGGACTAGACACAGGATGGAGATTTAAAAAATTTGAAAAAATTTTAAATTTGAGGAAAAAAAATTGGAAGTAAGGACACAAAAAATATACAATTTTTCATAAAAAACGTGCGCAAAGTAATATGGGATCGGTAAATGAGCAGTATCAAAAGCATACTTCAAAGCATACAAAACAATCTAAATATTAAATTGTTATATTTAGAAATATAACAATAAATAACGCAGAATCTGTCAAAAGTGCAAAGCTTTGGCATTAAAGCAAATGACAAAAGCTCGAGGAAAAACTAGTGAGAAAATTTAATTAAAAATTATCCTAAAAATACAGTAAACAAGTGCACTAAGCACAAAGCGAAAAGAGAAACTTATGGGACGTCGACAATTTAAAACGACTGATCAATAACTGAGCAAATGAACCAAACTAGAGAATAAGAAGGCGAGAGAGAATAAAACAACAGAATAAAGATGAAAAAAAAATTGCAATAAGAAACACTAAATCTGGCAACATTCATAATAAATGTGCATAAAGTAAACTGGAAATCACGAAAATTGAAATAAAAAAATGAACAACAGAATAGACAGAGAACAATCCAAACCCTAAGTAGCGAGAATTAGAAATATAACGTCGCATGACGCAGAATGTGTGAAAAGTACAAAACTTTGGCCAAAAGGCAAATGACAAAACTTGTGAAAAAACAGTGAAAATATATAAGCTGAAAATCACGCGACTGATGCCGAAGTCAAGTGCTCTAAACAAAGAAGAAACTAAGAAAAAGTAGACTTTTAAAACACACATCAATTAATTTACTGGGCAATGGAAAGGAACTAGACATGAACAAGATTGGCATTTATCAAAATCGAAGATAACTGAAACAAGAAAATAACAATTTGTTCAATACGAAGCACAAAGCACAAAGCACAATTAAAATAAGAATTGTGTTTTCAGAGTAGCAAAACATTAGAAAATTCATAGACACAATTTCATAAAATTTTCCATAAAATATATTAGTTTTGTCCATTTCAGTTGTCCAAAAGACCAAAACACGAACGCAATTTGGAAACGAAGAAATTCCAGAAGAATTAGAGCAGGGAAGAACAGAGAAGACATAAAGATGATAAATTTGCATAAATAGGGCAGAATGTGTCAAAACTACAATCGTTAAATATAGTGAGAAGGTTAAGTAATAAAAACAGTAAACGGGTGCAATCATCAAAGGAAGAAATTAAGGCAAAGTAGAAGTTTTAAAACAGTAACAATCAAAAAACAATGAAAAAAGGAAAGGATCAATTAAAATAGCCGAAAATCAAAAGCCTAGTAATCAATGAATTTGGTAGACAAATGAAAAAAAACAAAAAATACAAGAAGAACGTTGATCAAATGCAAAGGTGAGAAAAAATCGATATAAGCAAATACCAATCAGAAAAAAAGGCAAAATGAAAACAGCAAAAATGTTTTGAATTTTCCTCCTTTCAAAAATCAATCAATTTTCAAAGCAAATGAAAGCTTCGTAGTTATTACAAAGGAGAGGTAAAATAGATATGAAGAGGAAAACCGCATTTAAAGTAGTAAACAAAAATGCATGATGTTAAAAAGGACCTTAGATAAATGAAGAAGATGGCAAATATCGATAGGGTAGACATGAAAGCGATTTGGGCACGCATTCAGGCGTAATAAAAGCAAATGATCATCTTTCACGAAATCCACGCGAAAAATATTCCACCAGTCCCCTTTAATAAAAATATCAGCATTCATGCGAGAACGCGAACTCCATTTTTAACAGATAGGTTTCCAATAAAAGCGGAATGGAAAATATACGAGATTTTAAAATGCGAGCAGACATGCTACCTATATTTCCGAGATTCATTCCTCTTTCCATTATCCATGGAAAAATCTAACTAAAATATAAATTTTTCATGGCAACCGGCATAAACCGTGTACGGGAAAGGAGAGCTAGAAGAAAACCGAGCATCTCATGTTAATGTGAATATTAACAATGGGAGCTTGTTTGTCGAATATTTCAAATACTCTTAGTTCTTTTCCCCCCGCAGTCGGGGACAATGACGTTATTTGTTTCCGTTTGAGGAAGAGGCGACTAGTCAGCATGTATTCGATCCTAAAACAACAAGAACCTGCTGATTAGCAGGAAGGCGCTAAATGAATAATGACTTTAGCTAAGACCAAACGCAAACAACTTTATTTAAATATGGTAGTAATACTGTTAGACGCTGTATATTTTAGCGGAATTATTCGAGATGGGGCCTCAAAGCCAGACCGCTAATTGTCTTAATTTGTTAAATTCACTCTGAGTTTCTCGACGCAACCGGGGGAAGTCGGTAAACAGAGAGCTCTGTATTATGTGTGGGCTGTAAAATGGATGTTTAGCGCGTTCTGTTGTCTTTCGGGTCCGATTTGTATGCATAATATTGCCTTATTTACGCCCGTTTTACCCGAATGGATTCGCCCTAATTCTGCTAAAAACTGTACATTAAAAATGTGGATAAAGCCTGAAAACTTACCCCGATTATGGCATTCAGCTCAGTCATTGTAACTTGCTTCGCTCTTTCAACAGCGGTAGCCACTTGTTGCTGATGTTCTTGTGACAAGAAAGGTATGATTTGTGCTATGATAGCATTCAGTCTTTTTGCTATTTCAGTCTGAAATTAAAAAAATATATTATTAAAATGAATAAGCGCACAGAGAAATCATATGAATGAAACACGGAAGAACAGCAGATGCACTGAAAATGTTTCAGTCAAGAAGAAATCCACTAGCCAATAGAGAGTAATGAAACGATTTTAGTTTTACTTTAATTATCGCTTCTTTCAGGTGTTTGTCCTTGTCCTTGCTGGTTGTCACAGTTGTTCAGATTTGTTTTCGTTCTGGAGGTTTGTTTGCATTCCTTTTAGCTATTGTTTAATCCAATACATATATTCACTTAATTTACTTAGTTTTTAATGCTTTCAATTGATTGTACAGAGCTTTTACTGGTTTTAACTAATTGTCAATTTATTCATTGGTTTTGCTTATACAAAGCTTTGTGCTTGTACAAAATTTCTCGACTAATTTTGTTTGTTTCACTCTTGTACATCTTTGTCCATTTGTTCTGTTGTCAGTTATTCTTCTGCGGAGTTTTTTATGTTCAGCTTTGAATTTTTTTACACTTCTTACATCGTTCTAGCTTTTTTTCGTCGATTTCAGTGTATTTTTGCCGCATGACAGATTGACTCAAAACTGCCGATTTTCATTACAATGATTTTCTGGTCAATTTAATTCCATCGTTCCATTGCTTTTGTTACTCTCTCATCCTGCATTTATTTTTTATGTTAATTCTTATTTTGCTTGGTCTCGATTGCCTCACTACCGTTTTCTATTTCACGTTCTTTCAGCAGTATACAAAATTGGGTTTATTGTTGTTTTCCTTCTTGTCCCTGTGGTTTTTCTAGATTATTCCAATTTCTGTATCTGTTACGTAACTCTTTGAATCTGATTTGATTTCCAATATTCCGTTTTATTTTCATTTCTGGTTCTAAAAGATACATTTGAAGATGAAACTGCAGAAGGCCGAAAACAAATTGGGCTCGAATGATAGAGAAACAAGTATTAAGCGAAACCAACCATAAAATAACAAATAATATCTCTGAAAATAAACTCAAGAATCAAAAAACAAAAATGAGAAAAGAAAAACGACAAAACTAAAAATGTTGGAAATGAATGAGGGATTAGGAACAAAAACAAGTGAGTGCATTCTTTTTCACATCTTTAGGGAATTTACTAAACAAAAATATTAAAAGTGTCAGAAGCAGACAGAGAAACGATTGTAAAAAAGTTAAATAACATCAACAAATGTTTAGTTCAAAACACTTATCATGTCGGTGAATTGCTAAAACTCAAAATAAGAATTAAATGATACAGAAACAGGCGAAAAATGTTGAAGAAGAAATAGAGATTGAAAGCGAAAACAGGCTGTATTTTAAGTGAATATCGTCATTCATTCCCACAGTTTTAGGGAATTTACTAGATAAAAATATAAACTGTGTCAGAAGTAGAAAAATAAACTGTTTCAATTAAAGAATGCTTCCAAATATTTCCCATGTAAATCATTTTTTCGCGGGTAAATTATTCAAAAAGGAAAATAAAAATCAACTGAAAATATGAACGAATGACGAAGCCACGAAAAAAAATTATAACACATAAAAAGTTGATAAAGAATCAGAGGTGAGGCAACAAACAAGTGACATTTTGAATTTCTAGTGAGTATAAATATTCACAGTTTTATGTGAAAAATTTACAACAAACAATTTACTCGTTGGCGAATTGTTAAGACTGCAAAAACCGGAAAATCAGAATCAAATGACGACGAAACGAAAAAAAAATATAAGCAAGCAGATAAGAGAAAAAATGAAGCAAGTTATATGGAACTTGAAACTGGAAAAAATTCCAATTCCAAAAAAATTAAAGATTGTCAGAAGTAGAATGAGAAACGATTATAAAACTGYTTCAGTTGAAGAACATCAGCAAATGTTTTGTTTACAACATATGTTCGTCAGCGAATTGTTAAAAACCCGAAAAAAAAATTGAGAAAAGAAAATAAACAGCGAAGGAGACAAAGTTTACAAAATCGTAAATAAATGTAGATTTATATGCAACTTATTTAGTATAGGTATTAAGAAAAATAGCAGAAAGTTTTTAAGGAAACGTGGATAAAATTTTTGCAAAATAAATGCATAGAATAAAACAAGCACTTTTAAGAATAAATTGCATAAAATTGCACATGATAATTTAATGTAATGAGAGAAAAACGAAAAAACAAGCAAAATCAAAGAACTAAAAACATCAACTCTTTGCGCTTTGGAGAAACAAATGACGAAAGTAACAAGAAAGGAAAGCGCAAACTAAAAAAGTTTGATGTCAAACTCATTTAGTAAAGATACAAGAAAAAATTTCCGGGTGAGCCTCATTCGTCATTTGCACAACTTTATGGAAGAATTAAAATACAATATACCGAGTGTCTCAAGTTCAAGTTCTGATAAGGTCGCAAGTAAATCATGTTGATTGAGTTATTTATTGGCAATTAGTTGTTCCGTAGTATTTTAAATTACTGCAATGAAATTTTATGCAAAAATACTAAAACATAAAAACAGTGAATAAACCAACAAGAAAGCCTTAGAATCAAAAAAAAATCAAGCTTTTCAAAGCAGTTTCGTAAAGTCGCTTGACAAAGACAACACACCTATAATTTTTGCATTAACATTGTTGCAACATGACCTAATTCAGTAAATTTGGGGAAATAGGTAATTGGAGCTATTTGCCCAGTCGAAAAACGACTGGAATGACCGTTTTAATTGTCAATTACAAGGGAAAAAGCATGGTAAGTGCAGAATGCACCGGCAAAATCGGACTTACAGTGAACTGGAAAAACAAACAGTGAATGCAATGTTTGCACGGAACTGAGCAAACACTCGTCAGCGAATGGTCCGGGACTCGCAGCGAAAAAAATAAAGTAAAATAAAACGTACAACAACGGCTATTTACTTTTCAAGGATTTTACTCGAGCGACATCCTCCAAATGAATGCTTTTGCATGTTTTCCATTCAACTGTTTGAGTGGCTTTCATTTATATCTCGGTACTCACTAGAAGAGCCAAAACGAACTTTAATCGGAATAGTTTTTCTCTGAGTGCCTCTAACAGACGTTCTTCCAGACGACACTGTATACTATTATTGACTTTATTGTCGAATTTTCGAATGGTCTGAAATATAAATAAACCAGCCAAACATCATCAGCGATGGAAATCAAGTGCGGACGTTGTTTACACGGAACCGGCCTGTCACAACAATGCACACACAATATACAAAATAAACGTTACTGTTTACGAAATACAGATAGCACGATGTCGTTCCATTAATTTAATGTTTGTTTTATATTGTTTGGTTTAGCTGCTTTTGTGTTCAAGGTGTAGGGACGGGCATACGGGCTTAATGGGAAAATCAATACGGGTCGAATCTGGATCGCGACAAGGCTAATCAATGTGGATCAGACACACAGACAGAATTTGACTGCTGTTTGCTCTCACATTTATATTGAGCTTGCTCGGCTTTAATCTAATAATCACAAAGTAAATGTTTGGCTGTAGGTGATTCTCCCATAAACAGTCGCGGCATGATTCAGCAGCAAAGTGAAAAATCCGTAAACTGAACAGTAGAGAGAACGGAAAATGGACCACTCAATGGAACAATGATAATCGAGGAAACCTTTCACTAAACCCCCCGACCATTTATCCTCAATTCAGCCGATTAATTCCTCGATGAAAAACTAGCCCAAATCGAACAGGAGCGACCCACATAGCGAAAGAAGGTGAAGGATAAGTATCTCTGGGTAAGGGTGTAATTTTCACCCTCTTCACAAAAAGGGACTCTCCAGAAGGGCGAAAATAAGGGTGAACGTTATCAAGAATCAAAACGTGTTTTATCATTATGATGTTCTCCCCTATTCACCGACCGAATGAGGGTTGTATTTAATAATTCGGATATTGGATGAGGGGATCATGTCCTTCACATGGACGGCATGGCATGGCATGACTTATTAATTAACAAAAACACAGTGACCTAGGAAACCCAATCTGAACGGAATAAATGTATTTTAGGGTGTATTTAGGCAAAAACACTTTTCTTTAATATAATGCGTAGCTTGGGGGCGCTTCTCAATGCCTTTCTAGTCGCAAAAACCAGTTTAATTGGATTTTCCAAGCACTAATGTTTTGGTATAAACGAGCTTTTTTAAAATTAAATCCTTAGGATATTTTTTTGGATAATTAATCTCTAAAAACCAAATGGCAGCTTTTTAATGGTTAATTATCCAAACCATTGCCTCTTGCAAATCACCGTTAAGCGTAAATAGTTGAGCAACAAGCACCGAAAGCTTAGTTTTTTTAGGTAGCCTTATTTGATACTATTTCTTGGCTATAGAAGGGTGTTCCTCACCTCACTAGAACACAAAATGTTTAATTGTTAATTATTAATTAATTGTTAACTTGAAGGTTCAACCTGATGATAAATGTATGCAACACAACAGCCCCTCAAAACTAAAGAGACAGACTGGGCTCATAAAAGCGTATTAAGAACTCTTTTTAGAAAACTGTCGGGTTTTTTTTATATTTATTTTAAAGGCCATTTGTTAATAATATTTTTAAAATGTCTTCAAATTTCAGAATTTTTCAGTTTCAGCCAAGTTACTCTTTCTTCTAAATGGTCAATTTTCTAAAGTTTCACTTAAAAATGCTGACAATCTTAAGGTATTTTCCGCCAAAAATTATAAAATAAATTTCGAATCTTCTGTGGCTTTGTAGAAAATTTTGAAATCCCTTTCCAGCCTCGAACTTGGAACAAAAATAAAATAATTTTCTATCAAAAAATGAACAGAATAAGCAAAAGTTTATAACAGATTATTTGGAAATCTCGTCACCTCCATTCTTCTGAAGACTGTAGAATTTGTTAAAAAATGTGGTTTTTTAGTTTTTACTGAATTTTTTTGCATTACTTTCTACTCAAAAACACTCTATTTTGTAGAGGTTCACTTAAAAATACTGACGATCTGGAGGACTTTTACGAGAAAAATTACTTAATTAATTAAAATTAATTTATAGCTTTGTAAAAGT